TCGTATACAATTACCAGAAATGCTTAAGGTGAATAAAATATGTTATTATTTTGAATGTTTAAAATAGTATTATGCACAATTGTATAAATTTTGTACAAAGAAATAAGTGTATAATACAAGCTAAATCATGTTTGTTAAAATATGAGACAGAAGATGGACTAAATGGACTAAAATTTGATTACAATATAAAAATGGATCAGTGAGAAAATAAGTGGCTGAAAGACTGAAATTTACATTATGCTCTAGCCTAAAAAAGAATTTGTATAAAATGATGTGTCACTTTTCCATCAGATAAATTTTCTACAATGTATACAAGTAGTTTGAATCTTTGCTGAAAAAGTGAACAACATGAAGGGACATTTTTTTTATGCATGGTGAATGGGTAAAAAAGCCAAAAATTTGGATACAAATAAATACAGTAATTCAGAAGACTTTAAAAAATTAATTTACAATTGAAACCAGATACTTTTTTTTTTGAGATTATTAGACAGGCAGCTAAAAAGAGCCATGAAACTTTGTTTTTATGTATAGTATGATAACTGCAGCAAAATATCTGTATGCTCAAAAGTGGAAATGTTCAACGCTACCCTCAAGAGCGGACTGGTTGATGAATATGATGGCATTGTAGAGGGGTAAAGGTGACTTTCTTGATTAAAGACAGTATAGTATTTACATTTATGGCTGACTGGAACCGCCTTATAATTTTCTGCATGAAGCAGAAAAAAATTACAAAGCACCTATGACATGTTTTTGATGATTAGATAAAAAAATGAATACCGGTACTTGAATAGTAATCATAGAGCTTTACTTTGTAATTTGTAGTTATATTTGCTGCAAAGGAAATCAGAATCTTTCAGGTTCTTTTTTCATTTTGCACCTGGTTTTTTCTTTATTCTATTAAATTCACTCTCTCTCTCTCTCACACACACACACACACACAAACACACAAACAAACACACAATGTCTTTTTTAATTTCCCATGACATATATTTTGCTCCTTACGGCTTTGTGATAGGGATTGGCAATATTTTCTGTCACCTTAGCACTATTACCCAGCACACTATTGCAAGTTTGTGTGATTTATTTCAGTAGTAACATAAAAATAATTCACTTATGTAAAATGTCTTTTATCATATTTGTCCAAATAATTTTTACTTTAGTGTTGGGATTCTTGGGTGCTCTCTGGAGACCATCATTCTATGAATAGCCGAGGTCACTTTGCCCTTGTTCTGTGGCTCTTATCAGTTTTATACATTTCTTAGTTTTATAATATGTCTATTTAAACAATCAAAATTATTTTTACTATGTCTAGGGATCATCCTTCAAACACCCAATTTTTGTATCAACATTTCCTCCAGAATCAGTTTAAATTTCTCCCAACATCTTAGTAGGAAGTACCAATAGTATGATTTCTTTTTCATGAAGCCAATTTATAGATTAACAGATATTCCAGTGCCTTGCAAATCGAAATTGTCCTTCTGCCATCTGTCTCCTCCAATTGATCTTATCCTCAGAATAGATCAGAGAAAGCTGCACTGTTTAGCATGCTGAATTTCAACCGCTAAGTTTGAATTTGGTTTCAAAGGTACACAAACCTTTTTGTCATAGTGATAGCGCTGATGTGCTCCATGATCCCTGGCATATACACAATATATTGAACTGTTTATACCTCCTGTAATCAAATAGCTGAATTCTAAACATTCCCATGACCACCAGAAGCATATTTTCAATCCAATAAGATACTTCTTTATTGAAAAACAACCTTTTTAATAATAAGTCTCTTCTAATGGATATTCCCTTCTTTTTTTGGGTGACAGTCTCTTATCCCAAGTATTTCATTCTTTGTTACTCATCCAGGCAAAGTAAAAAAAAAAAATTATTTTAAAAGAGAATGAATAGAACAGAACAGAATAGGGCTGAAAGGGACCTTGGAGGTCTTTGAGTCCAGCCTCCCACTTTAGCAGGAGAATCTATACCATTTCAGACAAGTGACTATCTAGCTTCTTCTTAAAAATCTCCAGTAATGGAATGCCCACGATTTCTGGAGGCAAGCTGTTCCACTGGTTGATTGTCCTCACTACCAGAAGGACAGTAATACTATTACCAGGACTTTTTTTTTAGAGAATCACATACATCAGGGTCCTTATCAAATGTGGACCATCCATTCCAGAGGCTCATGTATAGCCTTTAATAACACTATTGTATATTTTTTTCAAAGTAAAATTAGTTCTTGTATACACTAAGTGATGCAATGGAGTTTCAAATATCAACATATTAATCTGGTAACTTCTGTAATGGTGTGGTGGGAATTAACTCAAAAACTGTAATCGTTTATAAATAATATTCAAATTTTCCATGATTTCCTATGTATCTTGAATGAATGTACTTTGTATTAACATAATATCCTTGCTTGGACATATTTTTTTGAACAAGAGTAGCAATGCAGACATTTTGAGTGTTTTTAGATCTTTTAATGGGAAAAAAAACAAATCAGTTTGTTGATAAAGTCATATTTTTTCTGAAATTAAGCTATGATTATATTCTTTAAATTCTTTAATAATATCTGATTCCTATATATATTGATAATTTCTGACATTTGCTAATATACCTTACTGCCCCGACTTAAACGTTTACGAAAGAAAGACTCTTGACTCCATTTGGTTGAAGTGATAGTGTTGTCCCCAATTCAGGTCTGAGCCTTGGAGATGCTATACCCTAAGTATTTAATCTCCTGCTATGCAATTCGGGCTTTTGCTGTTTTAGACACCTTATAGAAGGCATGTCAAACTCCTGAGGTCACATGACATCACGCGACGTATCACGACTTTTTCCTCATTGCCGGCAATGGGGTGGGCACGGTTTTGGCATGACGCATCCAGCCCACAGGCCGGCATTTTGACATGCCTGCCTTATAGCATTTCCTGAAGCCCCAATAATAGGTATCTCACCAGTAGTCCGAGGAGCAATAGGTCTGTTAAGGACACATTCACTTGTTCCTGTATCTATTAACCTCTTGTGTTTAGATTCCCTGATTTCCCACCAGAGGTTTGTGATTAGGGGGAGCAATAATTCCTTCCCTGTGGCCTCTTCATTATTCTTCTTCTGTTGCATAGTTATAAGCCACCAGGCATTCACTCTTCCAATGTCCTTCCTTTCTGCCTATAGCACACTGGTTGGGGGGACCTTTCCTCTTTCATGCTCTACTATTTTAGATTCCCTGAACTCCTCCCCCTCCCCATCTTTTCCGGATTGTAGTCTAAGGAAAGATAGCATTTCAACGAGCTTTCTGGATTTCAACTAAGACTTCTTTTTGTCTATTAATACAATTATCTCTACTGCCTCCTCGCCCCCTCTTCCAAGTTGAAATACTTGCCTACTTCTTCCAACTGCCTTATTGCAAAACTGACTTTCCTTAAACTTTAGAGTAGATTCCACTTATTGGGAAATGGGCATCCCAATTTATTTTCTAACTTGGCCAGAACAGACATATATAGATCAAAAGCAAACTGAAAATGTAAAAGCAGGTATCAGATGTCACATTTACCCCACCTTTCTCAGGCAAGAGCTCAAAGTTTAAACTAAGCAGAGAAAAAAATGGTTAAAAGGAACAGAAAAACTTCGTTCTTTTTTGCAAGGCAGACAGCCCTTGAATAAAAGAAAAGTAACAAACAATGAGAGAAGAAAGGGGAAAAAATGTTTAAAAGACTACACAGAAATCTCACCCCCTTTTTTTCTACTCAGCATTTTTTTTTAACAAAATAGCTATCTCTCTTTCTCTCCCTCTCTCTTCAGTAAATCACTTGCATTTTTCCATGAATTTTTCTCCAACATTTTCCGAGGGACTTTTCTCATTTCATTTTTCCATTTCCTTGCAAACACTTGCTATTGCCTTTCTATTTATTTCACAATAAAAACCTGCAACTTACTGTTTCTTTGTAAGAAAGGGAATCAAAATAACTAGCCCCTTTCACAGTCTGGGGGTTGGGGGATCAACATACATAGGCATTTACACATCAGCATACTCACATATTTGTCCTCCATTCAAACTGCTTGCATAAAAAATTCCATATAGAAATATTTTGTTTCATACTTTCTCCAGGGAAACCAATCATTATTATTATTTTAGGAAGCTTTTCATAAGCCAATAAGCTTTATTTTCCAAATCTTTTTTTAATAAGGTCTTTTTATTTATTGTTATTAAAGGGTCTTGCCTCTTTCCCAAGTCTTGGAAATGAAGCAATACGTACATATACACTACCTCCACACTCCTCTAACAGGAATGGACTGTTAATGAGTTTCATAAATAAACCCAAATATTCTAGGTTTCATTTCTCCAAAATTGCTTTTAGTTGCTCAATAAGTCCTATATTATGAAATTCCTAAGGGGGCAAAAGTGACCTCAAATTGTCCAAGGGAATTTGAGGCCAGACATACAATAATGAGGAAAGGCTGCCTTTGATCCCCATGTCTAATCCCCCTAATATCTCAAAATTAGCCAAAATACAATTCAGTTTTGTCTTTGGGCAGCTTCCCTTTAGCAACTCTATCACCCCTCGACTGGATGCCTTTTTGCTGCTAGTTTCGCATCTGAAAGCTGGATCTCAGGTAGATTCTCCTTATTCCCTGGGATATTTCCTGTCCAGTCTTTGCCTTTTATTTAGGACTGGATCTCAAGCGGATACCCTTTATCCCCCTAGAACAGTGATGGCGAACCTTTTGGAGACCGAGTGCCCAAACTGCAACCCAAAACCCACTTACGTATTGTCTGGTGCCGGGTAGGCATGGCCCATTGGGTGGGTGTGGTCCATTGGGTGGGCGTGGCCAATTGGTGGGCGTGGCTGCAGCAGTAACAACAGACTGGATGGGACTAAAAAGTTCAATCAATCAATTCCAGCTTTGCGAGATCTTTTTTTCCCCGCGAGAAGTTGAAATTGATTGATTGAATCTTTTTTTTTTCACATGGCAGTGGAGGCCTAAAGCAAAAAGGTTTTATAAACCCAGCTGAAGGCCTAGGACTGAGGTGATGGCGTGAGTGCCCACAGAGAGGGATCTGAGTGCCACCTGTGGCACGCATGCCATAGGTTTGCCACCACGTGTATAGGGTTTCCTGCTTGAACAGGGGGTTTGCAAATGCAAACGAAAAAGTGGTAAGTTTCACTTTGTTTAATTCGGTATAAAAAGAACTGCCTGAAACTTTCTGGAGCCATCCTGGCTAGTAAAGCAGGTTTTGTACAGAACCATGGCTAACAACAAACTGCCTCCACAGCAGGATATTAGAAGGAAAGGTTTAAGTGAAGTTTTCTACCAGAATCTCCTGAGCATGTGACTATGCTATTTTTTGTCTTTCCAGGAAGCAGAAAAATTACAGTCCATTTTGCAACACCCAACCTGCTGTGGTTTCATGGCAGTTATCTAGATTAGCAACCATAATGACTGTCTCCCTCCCGTCTCTCCCCCCCCTCAAGTGAGGTTCTCAGTTCTAGGCAGCCCCCAGGTTCTGGGGGGCTCAACGGACATAAACATTCTTTTTAAATTCAGGTGTATTTGCAAACATGACCACATCCGGTAGGGCAGTGGGAGCTGGTTTCCAGCCATTTCATGATATGCTGTAGATGACCAACCTTGGCACCACGCAAAGAGGCCCTTGACCACATGGTGGCACACGGCACACATGCTGGCACACTGCCGGCACCTGGAAGAGACCAGAAAGAGAGAAGAGCAGAGCCTCAGGCCCCAGGGTGATTCCAATCTTTCTTCAGTTATGAAGCTCAGCCTGTTATTTGACCCATTCTCTCTCTCTCTGTCTCTTTCTTTCTCTCTCTCTCTGCCTCTGTCTCTGGCTTTCTTTCTTTGTCTCTCTGTCTGACTCTTTCTTTCTCTTTCTCTGTCTCTGACTTTTTCTTTCTTTTTCTTTCTCTCTCTCTGCCTCTCTGTCTCTGACTTTCTTTCTTTGTCCCTGATTCATTCTTCCTTCCTTCCTTTCTTTCTTTCTTTCTTTTTCTTTTTTTCTCTGCCTCTAACTTTCTTTCTGTCTGACTCTTTTTTTGTCTTTCTTTCTCTGTCTGATTCTTTTTCTTTCTCTTTCTTTCTTTCTTTCTTTTTTCTTTCTCTCTGTCTCTGTCTGTGTCTCTTTCCTTCCTTCCTTCCTTCCTTCCTTTCTTTCTTACCCCCCCCCCTCTCTCTCATCAGCCTAGACTATTTCACAAGCTTTGGAGAAGGAAATAATCCTCGACTTATGAGCCCAACTTTTCTCTTGTTAAGTGAGACATTCATTAAGCGAGTTTTGCCCCATTTTATGACTTTTGCCGCAGCGGCTAAGTGAATTGTTGCAGTTGTTACATTAGTAACACGGTCGTAAAGTGAATTTGGCTTCCCCATTGACTTTGCTTGTCAGAAGGTCACAAAAGGGGATCACATGACTCCGGGACACAGCAACCGTCATAAGTACATGCCAGTTGCCAAGCGTCCGAAATTTGATCACATGACCACAGAGAGATACTGCAACAGTCGTAAGTGTGACAAAGTGATCCTAAGTCACTTTTCCCAGTGCCATCGTAACTTTGAACAATCACTAAACAAACTGTCAGTCGAGGATTAGCTGTACCACATACAGGCTGTGTGTTAGCAGCCATGAGCTTCTCACCGGTTACAGATCCAGCCCTTGTTGCTCATGGGCCGTTTGCAGTTGCTGCAGTTGATGTGCAGGGTGGTGAAGGCCTGGTTGAGGCAGTGGATGGCTCTGCAGGTGCTCAGCTTGATCACTTCATTGGAGATGTTCCACATCTGGAACCGCTGCAGCAAGTCAATGTAGGACATGTACCAATGTTCCTTTGGAAACAGAAGACAACAATATTGTGGCATCCCAAACTTCAGAAGCCACTGCGTGTTTTTCCCAAGACTCAGAAGCATTTATACGGCTTAAGGGTAATCCTTGCTTAGCATAACATTTGAAGTTATGATGGAACTACCCGAGGCTACTTATGACCCAGAATTGGAATTCCAACGGCTCTACCACCCCCATGGACACACAACTGCATTTCAGGCACTTGGCAATCAGCTCACCTTTGCAGCCAGCTCACCTTTGACCACGATTTAGGATGCTAGATAACCAAGTGGGATGGTTGACAATGCATTTTGGTGTTTTTCAACCCTTTCCTTGCAAAACAAGACCATAGGAGTACATTAATTGGCTTAATAACTGCAGCAACAAAAAACACACCGTAAAATTATTCCGGTCATGTGACTGCCCTGATTTACGACTGTATGACTTACGATGGAAATTCTGGTCTCTGTTAAAATGAGAGAGTCGGGGGCTCCCTTTATTGACATGTTTGTTTTTTCAGCTCAAAACTACGGCTAAATTAAAATTGGAGGATCTCACCAGGATGTTCAACTAGTGGGGTGAAAGGGAAAAGGAACACAGCAGTTAGGCATTTTCTCTGCACATGAAAATGGATGGATATGGGTTCCATCCCGGTTTTAGCCCAGCAACAATCGGCAAATGCAAAGTCACCAAGTGGCAAATGCTTAGGTGCCATGGAAGGAGGGCAGAGGTACCCAATGCAATAGGTTAAACAGTGGAAAACTTCCAGGATGGTGACCCTTTCCACATAGGAGTTCTGCCATTTTTTAAAACCAGAAGTCAAAGATATTTGAGTTAAACAACTGCTGCAATCATTAAACGAACCATTGGTTCACTACGGCTGCAATTTTGCTAAAAAAAAAAAACCAAAATGCCAATTTTTGGCAAAATGGCAATAAAACACATTCATGCGACCACAGGTGATAAATGCAGCCCGATTACTGAATGTCCAAAGTTTAGAAACGTGTCTGCGGAGGGGAGGACCGTGGTCACCGCAAGTTCGGATCTGGGTCATAAGGTTGAGTATAACCACGAACGGTTACTAACAGACCAGTTTGTAAGTCAAGGACTACTTGTACTTCTTTTCCTATGTCCCTCACTTGAGTAGGGCAAGCAAAAAGGCAGCCCAATGGTCAGGAAAAGCAGCAGCAATAAGCAAGGTTTTTCTCTAGCGTCCCCTACTGGGACAGGAGATTTAACTGATGCTTGACTGATACCTGTGGATATAGGTACCTGTGTCTGGTCATCAATCCCCTTCTTGATGCAATCCCCCAGCACAATCAGGATCGACACGGCCATCTGGACATCTCCTTGCTCGGCATAGAAGAGCAGCATGTCATGGACAATGAGGTTGAAGAAATTGGCCGGCAGGCGATTCTCGTAAAGCAGACATGTCAAACACAAGGCCCGGGGGCCGGATGTGACCTGCAAAGTGGTTTCATGTGGCCCACGAAGCCACGCTGAAAAACAGTAAGAGAACAATCCCCATTGCCTCGGCCCTGGCCCAGGCTGGCTGGGAGCCAATGTACAATTTTGTGGTGGCCATCTATGCTGAAATGCATTCAGTCTTAGCTCCACAAGGCCATCTGAAAACAACGAGGAACCAGCCCCTGGCGTTTTGGCCCCGCCCCCTGGGTGCATGCTGGGGAGGTGACATCTCCCCAGCTGTGTTTCTTGCCTGTTTTTCTCCCTCTCTCATCTCAAATATTTTCCCACCACTCTATACTTAAGAAAGAAGGAAGGAAAGAAAGAAAGAAGGAGAGGGACGGTCTGAGGGAAGTCCTACCTTAGTCCTGCCCTGCTGCCCTTTCACCATCCCCTTGCCCCCTCCTCCTGGCCTATCCTGGAAGTTTCCCATCCTATTGCTAAGGAAGCTTTGGATACAAAGCCGGGTCTCCTCCCATGGAGAGGGAATGGGCCTCCCTCTGACTTTGCCCTTGTACCCATCATGAGCAACCTGGCTAAGGAGAGCAAGCACAGCAGCAGCAGCCTTGAGGAGGAGGTAATTGCAGCTGGGCACCCCCTTGGGGAAGTGGGGCTGGACTTGGTGCCGCAAGTGCTCGAGGGCCAGGCTAGGCATTTGACCTCTGCTGCCCAGGGCTCCGGGCAGCCCACACCACCATTGAGGGCCCCCCCCGCATGGCCTGAGAGGAACAGTGAGGCTCCTCCAGTGGACCATGCCTTGGCACTTGCCCTGGTCCCACCCCCTTCTGCCAGAGACCCTCAGATCTGTCCCACTCCTGCCCAGGCCACCACAGGGACCCTTGACACGAACAATGTAGATCTGGCCACACCCACCCAGTAGGTCACATCCACTCCATCCATGCCCACCCAATAGGCTGCACCCACCCTGGCCACACCCACCGGGCCCCGAGGGCAACCGTAATGCTGATGCAGCCCTCAGTGAAATTGAGTTTGACACCCCTGTCGTAAAGGGAGTGTGGAAATGAGGGAGAACGATTCCACAGGAATAAGTGAAATGGTCTCCACCTCGTTGCCACTGACGTGGGGTGAGTCAGCTTTGTCCTGCGTAAAGGAAAGGCTTCTTGGGGAAGGATATACTCTTGTTCTTCGGCTGCAGGAAGACACAAAACCATGAAGGAGAAAGAAAGCAGACCCAAACCACTCCATTCTCTCCTCCTATATAATATTATATTATATAGCTTGTAAGACTAATTGGTTTCACATTGTCGTCTTTTGTTTGCCTCCTAACCGCTCTGCCCTTTGGCGTGCTCATCAAGCACTGGATAATGAAAAAGGAATTAATGTTTTTATTTATGTTCAATGGAGAGAAAGGAATTACAAGAGAGTAAGCAGGCACACAACAGAGAATACACATTGAAAGCAATGCACTGACACCCAGCAGCCACGAGCATGCTTGATAAATCGCCTTGTATCCTCCATTGTGTGTGCCTACTCGCTCTCTTGCAATCCCTTCTTCTCCAATCTCTCTGCTCTGCAAAGAGAGAAAAAGAAAAGAAAAACAACAGATTAGGCATTAAAGCAGGACAAGCACTCACTGTGAGGATTCTCATGGTCGATCATGTACAGATCTTCTTCATCAGTTTCCATATCACCCAGGAGATAATCAGCAGGAGCGTCACTTCCTTCTGTCTCTTCGTTCTCTAGACATCCAGAAAAAAAATGCTTACAAGTAGAGCCATAGAGTTGAATGGGGCTGTTTTGGCCACAGAATTCAGCTTCCTGTTCAGTGCAGAAGTTCAGATTAAAGCACCTCTGATCAATGGCAGTCTAGTGCCCGTCTAGGCTCCACTTGAACAAAAACAATTGAGAGAAGTTCATTCCTTCCTCCAAGATTTGCTGTTGAGCCACTTGGCTACTTAGACGTTTGATCAGAATCTGCCTTCATCTAGCACAGTGGTTCTCAACCTGTGGGTCGGGACCCCATTTGGGGGTCGAATGACCATTTCACAGAGGTCGCCAAACAACACAGTCCGCCATTTTTTTTCCTTTTCTTTAGCTGTGCTACTCCCTTTTATTCTATTGGCTTTTGAAAGCCAATAGAATAGACTCTCTTGAATAGAGTCTAATTCTATTGGCTTTCAAAAGCCAATAGGAATTGTCTAGGCTGTCTCTGCCCTGCTGAGCCCGCCAAAAGTCCCATTCTGCAAACGGTGCTGCACCAGTTGAGTAGTCCTCGACTTACGACCGGTAGGGGGTTGTGGCATTAAAAAGGTTGAGAACCACTGATCTAGCATGGGTCCATTGTTCCATGTCCTAGAGCCACTAAAAGGAGATTGTAGCTTCTTTTAGGAAACCCCTCTTGGGATATTGAATGAGTGGTGTTATACAGGTAGTCCTCGACTTATAACCATTTGCTTAATGACCGTTTGAAGTTACAGTTGCACTGAAAAAGTATAACTCATTCTTGCACATATAACCATCGCAGCATCCCCATGTCACATGATCAGGATTCAGGTGCTTGGCCAACAGCATGTATTTACAATGGTTGCAGCATCCTATGGTCATTTGATCGCCCTTGGTGAACTTCCCAGCCAGCTTCCGGCAAGCAAAGTCAATGGGGAAAGCTGGATTAATGATCATGTGATTCATTTAATAAATGCAGTGGTTCACTCAACAAGCAGGGCAAAAAGGTCATAAAATTGGGCATGGCTGACTTAGCAACCGCCTTGCTTGGCAACAAAAATTCTGGTCCCAATTGTATTTTGCTTCTTTTGTATTTAGCTTTTTCGGCCCTCTTTTGCCTGGACTGAATATACCCACTTCCCTTGTACAGCTGTCCATCCCCCCCCCCCAGGTCTGCTCACCATCATTATTGATCAGAGTTGAGGACGAATCCATGAGAATGGCTTTGGGACGGTTCTCCCCCTTGGTCCTCTCCAGCCATGACTCAGTGCCTATTCTAGAGGGAATATCTTTCAAGTTAAAGCTGGGAGAGAAGCAGAAAAGGCTGAATAGTCCATAGTAAAAATTTCCTTCCTGTATCTCCTTCTTCTATATGTCCTCAATGCTTGCAATTTTGGATAAATGCGATTGTTTTTAATTCTGAGCTTGTCGCCAGCTATTTAACATAATTCCTTCTTTTTCTTTGTTCCTATCTTGCTTTGTTATCTCTACTATTTTTTGTTTGCTTTCTGTCGTTTTCTAGTTTTAACGTTTAACAATTTGTAAACTGCCCAGAGTTGCTGGGCAGTTGGGCAGCTTAGAAATCTCATGTAATCACAGCAACAGGTCTTTGGGAAGGACTCGATAGGCAAGTATAAAATAACAAATCCAGTCTACCATCTGGCTGACTGTGCGATGAACGAAAACAATATTATGTGGCTACCAATCTTATATACATAACTCTGGGTAGCCAACAAAACAAAAAACAGCAAAAACAACCCAAAATTAAAAATAATAGGGCAGCCAAGAATGCTCATATTCCAAATTAATATAACCATGATCAAGAACCAGGCTTACCCACATTATATTATCATTACAAACACATACAGACTAATCAGCAATATCTTTGAATTATTTGATTTACCATTTTATAATATTTCCTGTTGGCATTTGACAAAACCTCCAAGGATTGGCTATTCCAGAGTCTTTAGGCAGTGTTTCTCAACCTTGACATCTTTAAGATGGGTGGACTTAGGCTCCCAGATTCTTAATCTAAATGGGGGCTACAGGGCCTCACCTGGATTTGCCCCAGGTCACCCTTGAGAGTACATGTCCCGCAATGCAAGCCCCTCCCCTTCTCCTTACCTATTCATGAGTGGAATGTTAGAGCTACTTTTCCCCAGGCTGTGGTTGAGGTTTGTGGCAGGGACTATGTTAGGGTTTGAATAAATAATCTGGAGCATTGTCCATGTCTGAGCAACCTGGAGAAAAAGAACAGAAAAGGCTAAGAAACTACCAGCTAGGTCTGTCAACTGAAGGACTGTAAACCAACCCTCTAGCACAGTGATGGCGAACCTTTTAGAGACCGAGTGCCCAAAAACTGCCCCCACCCCCATTCTACTCCTTGCCCTGCCCCCACATCCTCCACCCCGCCTGTCCTCAGGGCCTCACTGCCTCCAGGGCCCGCCGCAGATCACCCAGGCAGCCCAGCTGCACCATGGCGGCCATGCCCTCTTCCCGCACCATCAACTGTGTGCGATGGGGCAAGAGCAGTCTTGTCTATGCTGCCTGGCTGCCATGTCCTTGGCTGCGCTGCTTTGTGTAGGCCACACTTGGGGGTGACTCTCCTCCAGGTGGGCTGCTGGTGAGGAGGGGGTCATGGGGGAGGCGAGGTTGGGACAATGGCACGCGTGCCCACAGAGGGCTCTGAGTGCCACCGCTGGCACGTGTGCCATAGGCTCACCACCACTGCCCTAGGACATCTCCTGTTCAATCCTTACCTTATCTCAAAGTTTTGCCTTTCTTTTCCTCCTTCTGCTCGATATCTTTAGGGCTTCAGCCTTTGAGTTTGATTAAGAAATCACCAAGGATTTCACCAAGACCAAACATTCATTTAGACAGTAGCTTATTGCATTCAATCTATGCATTGGTGAGACACATGCATTTCTGCAAAGTCCCTTGCTTTTCAAGATACCCAGTCATTGTCAAGACTCATAGGCCTTGAGAGCCCATGTAGAATGACACATACAGAAACACATAGTCCTGGTCACCAACCATGAGTTTTATTTCAGAGTAATCACATACCTTTCAGCCACTAGTCTTATCCGTCCGGGTGCTCACCTACCTCCAGTAGTAGTTGGTGTCTTCCAATTGAATCCAGGCAGGGAATCCTGGACAAGCCGATTGTTGTCTCCAATTCGGCTTTGGTGCTGAAAGTCAATGAAGAATACCAGACACAAGTTGCAGGTTTTGTTTCCTTTTATTGAAGCACTTCAGCAAAAAGGATCCCAGCCAGCAAAATGCCAGGATCCAGAACAAAGGATTAAGAAAGCTTTATACAATTTTACAAAAGCAGAAGGCAGGACCAGGAGGGATATGTAAGGAATATCATCTAATAAATATGATCTAACAATTGTCCTATTGGTCGCTAGCTGTCCCTATTCTTAAGCCTTGGCTAATGAATGCTCCAGGAGTTATCTAATACACATTCTATTTGTTCCAGGCCACCCCTATTCCTAACTTCTAGTTGAGGTATGCAGGATGTCTAACTCTTTGTTACTGTTACCAGTCCTCTAACCACCCATAATTGTTACAAGTGTTATACGTGCATATTCTCTGTGAACAGACATTGTTTTTGCCAGACTTCACAATTACAGGCATCCCAGTTTTCTTTCAAGTGTTTGATTTCATAGCTTGGCTTCCTTTTAGCAGACAGCCCATCAATAGATTCTTTTACTAAAGTCAAGCAGTTGTAGCGAAAATAAAGCTAGTTCTGTGTATTCCTGCGCAAAGGTTACTTTTTCCCCTTTCCCTGCTTCTCCCCCCCCCCCAACCAATTCAACAATGTCCAACATTATTCAGTTCTGAATTTTGGGGAACTGCTTTGATGCTGGCACATCTCAATGTAGTTTCTCATTCTGTTCCCAGGCCATGTCTCTTTGGTGGCTGGCTTATTCTGGTTTGACACCTCTGGTTCTTGTCAGCTTGTCTCCCCCCCCCCATTTGTCTTCTCTTTTCCATGCCCGAGCTTTACTTCCCCAAATTCCTTTCTCCCACCCTTTCATTTTAAGGCAGGATGCCAGCAAAGCAAAAAAGCTGAAGATGGCAGACCTGACATTTATAGTGCTGAAAGGTACGTGAATATTTTCTTTGGGTCTCTGATTTTCTCTTCCTTCAATTTATCTATTGCAGTTTACTAAAATTACTAATAACTTATGTATCAAAGAAATTCATTTAATATGGTGAAGGTAAAAGGAGTCTTAAGTTGAACTTGGTGAACATATCAACAAATTTTAAGCAAGAAACTAAACATTAAAATTGATTTTTTCCCAAGAATTCTATTGAAAAGTTAATCATGAACAAAAGCAAATATATGTATCCCAGGATAATGTTGCAGGATCCAATTTGAGTTGGTCACTGGGACTGAAGGTTTAGTTTTCCTAGTTTTCAGTTCTGTGCTGCAGCCTATCCTCAGGGAACTTCTCTGTATGGCGATACATGTTCATTTAAAGTTCATCTATTCAGGCAGTAAATACCTTATTTCTATTGGAGGTATTGTCAAACATATTTAATAACTACCAGACATAAACAGAATCCCATTCTTATTCTTGGTATTTATCTTACTTTCTTTTGTAAAGATCCATGAAATCACCTATTTTAAACATTAATCTGATTGACTGGATATAGTTTTCATCATTGAGATGGGTGTGCTTAACGTCTGATGTGATGATCTTTACATTTGAAGTTGGCAGTTTGTAAGGATAACCATGTATCAAGGTGATCAATACAAAAGGATTGTATCGAACAGACAGTCCTCAACTTATGAGTGGTCGCTTAGCAATTGCTCAAAGTTACAATTTTTTAAAAAAGTGGGCTTACAACCTGGATTCAAAGTTTCCATGGTTGTACCCTCTGTAGTCACAATTGAACTTTGAGTACTTGGTAACATGGCCGTATTTACAGCCATTTGCAACATCTCCCAGTCATGTGACCACATTTTACAACAGTTTTGCCAAAAACTGGCACTTCCATTTTTTTTGCAAAATCGCACCCTTAGAAAAGCATTAGTTCCTTTAATGACTACAGCCATTTTCTTTACAACTGCTGCAAAATGGTCATAACATTTTACAACCATTTCAACATATGATTTTTAATGGGCAGGCTCCATTATTTATTTATTTATTTAATGAGACTTATATACCGCTTTAAGTGCAAGCACTCTCTAAGCGGTGTACACCAGTAAGCAATGTATATATACATTTACATTGCCCCCAACAATCTGGGTCCTCATTTTACCTACCTCGGAAGGATGGAAGGCTGAGTCAACCTTGAGCCGGTGAGATTTGAACCGCTGACCTGCTGAACACAGTCAGCTAAAGTGGCCGCAGTACTGCACTCTAACTGCTGCGCCACCTCGGCTCATTATAGTTGTATGCCAAGGACTACCTGTATTTGAGGTCTGAGGAATGAAAACGTGAAAGCATAGAAATTATTGTAGAAATACCATTTTTAAACAAATCCTATTGAACATAGTAGCACTAATACAAAATATATAATGTAGTTACTATACATTAGTATGGTAACAACCAATATATATTTGATCAAAGGAAGACTGGTATTATTAAATGATGAATGTTACTTATGACAGTTAACTAAAGATACTGATATATATCTCACAAAGTTATATAGATATCACAAATCAGCAGAGTATTCTGTGGATTAAAGTTTAACAGATCTGGAGAGGACTACATTGATATAATACAAGCTAGGGTTTAGGCAGTTTTTCCCAAAAATATTTTTTCTGCCTTCTTAAATTTTCTAACTTCAACAGATAATTCCCAATATCGAAGGTAGATCCACATGAGCTTTCCATTTTGATTTTTATTGGTATTTAATAAATTGCTGCAAGAGGTATCGTATCTGAAAATATCTTTCAGCCCAGCTTCCAGTTCTAATTCCAAACCAATTGGATCAGTTGTTGCTTTGCCTAGCATTTTTTTTTCCACTGCCAACCGATGATATCTTGGCAGTACAAGGCTGCAATACATATCCTGTCTTTCCATTAAAGCTTCTTCAAACTCTTTTAGTAAAATAGTGGCTTTTGTTTGCCAATGATCTTCCTTCTCCAAGCAGTTCTTATACAAAGCACCTGCAGCACCAGAGTGCTGCAGAATCCGTTTCTCTTGTTCTACCTTTGTGCGCTCTTGTTCCAAAATTCTTCTTTCTTCTACCAATTTGTAACTCTGAGAGATGAGTGCGTTGCGATAACTTAGGGTTCTGTTCCGTTCTTTCTCCAATTCTAATTCCAAGTGGGCAACCATTCTACGGTTTTCTACAATTATATCGCGATATTTAGATTCAAGCTCTTTCTGTACAAAAGACAATTTTTTATAGACATTTTTTTTCTCTTTTTCTATTTCTTTCTTAGATTCTCTGGACCAAATCCAACCTGTAAGACATGAAAATATCATGGTAAATACCAGGACTGGTTTCCAATTTAGTGTGAAGCCAAACTTGATAAAGAATGGAAAAATTCTGAACTTATTTGAGATAGGACAAACATCAGTTAATTCATCCAGTCTTAAATCCACATTCTTTTGCAGAATTCTGTTTCTGGTCCATACTAAGTATATAATGAAAAAGCAAAACATTAATACACCTAAAAGGGGAAGATTCAAAATGTTTGCTTATATATGACTCTGGTGAAATAACATCAGTGGAATGAAGGAATAAAGTAGAATCAGAGATCGATTAGCTTGTCCTCAGAGCAGGGTAAACCTTAAAACTAGATACTGCATGGATGGGAGAAGAAAATGAGGCTCTTTTAGATAGTTCTCTGTATGAGATTGTTTTCTCTTTCCCACTGACCTTTTAAAAATTGTGTCATAATGCATACTGTAATAATAATAACACACTGTAACTTGTTTGTTTTCAATTTTTTTTATTTTTTCAATGCTTACTTATCTTTCCATTTTTAACTGTTAATTATATTGCCAGGTTTTTTTTTTACTGTAGTACTATCACTCTATGTATTGGCCTTCTATCTTTACATTAGACTTAGTCCTCAACTTATAATCATTTGTTTATGATTGTTTAAAGCTACAATATCATTGGAAAAAGCGACGTAGGACTGTTTTGTACACTTATGACCATTGCAGCATACCTATGATCACATGATCAAAACTTCATAACTGCAATGATTTGCTTAACAACTGTGGCAAGGTCGTACTATGGAGCAAAACTCACAACAACTATCTTGCTTAGCAATGGAAATTTTGGGATCAATTGTGATTATAATTTGAGGACTACCTGTAATTTCTTACCCCATTTAATGTTTGTATGTTTTATGACAACACAGATTATTTCTAAAAAGGAAAGAGGCAGAAATAAAGGCACTAGGGGAAAGTTACATCTGATTTTTGTCAGGTGAAAGCGTTATGTCTCTTGCCCTTAAAATTATTTGCTATTGATACTGGCTAAGGTTCACAAGGTTGCCATCTTACCAGGAGATAGCTGATAGGAACAGAGCTAGTTGTCTCCTCATTTTAGACCACTGTGAAAGTGGGAGGAGGTTCACAGGAGAAATTCAGGCTCGTATGTGGTGGAGGAGGAAGATGTGGAAAATGAGATGAAGCAGAATTGCAATACTTCTCTTTTGATTGGAAAAATGGGGGGGGGGGAAGAGGTTGCAGTATAAGCGCAAATGTCATCCAGTGCTTATGCAAAATCCTCCAAACTATCAAACATTTCATGTCCAGCATTAGGCAACGTTTCTGGAAAAAAAGCCAGGCACTAAAGAAGCCAGGCACTAAAGAAGCATCAGAATCTCTTCTGATTCTCACTTGGGAGTGGTACAATAGACTAAGGGGAATCGAAGACTATATAAACAATACCTATTATGAGGAGAGACGAACAAGAGATGATGTTTCATTAGCCTTAGTACTGATATTCTGTTTCAGGTAAATATGATGTCACAATAATCTTTTTCACTGCAGTCAAGAATGTTCATAAGTGTCTGAAGAATAGGAACAGGGTACAGTCTCAAGACTAATTATTCTTAATAGATATACTTCTAAGATCTTAAATTGGACCATAACTGGTCAATGCAAATTAGAATGACTAGAGAGATCAAGGGGCAGGAAGAATGTGGGAGGTCTCATTCTTTACAAACATTATCAAAATGGGCTCAATAAACAATCAGAAAAAAATAAAATATGGAAAAAATTCCATTATTGAGTTCTACACTTAAGAGTTATAAACTGTTTTAAACTGAAAACTTTATAAGCTTGCATGGCCATGAATTAGATGTAATCATATTTCCCCTAGTGAATCTCTACAACATTTTGCTAGCAAAATTGTAGACAGCTCACTGTGTGAGAGAGAAAAACCTTATTTCCTGTAAATGCTGAGCCTTGAGTATTTTCTTTGATAAAAGAAGAAATAAAAATGCAGTAGGGAATCTTTGTTTTTTAATACTAGAGTAATGATATAGCTCCAGGTTTCAAGAAGCCTAGAGTCTTTAAAATAAGCACAAAATATTTGTAGGATAATTCACCTTTAACAATGGACAAGTAGAACAACTAAAATTTCAAAATAATTGAAAAATTCAAATTTTATTTGAAATTCACTTACGGAAGGCAGCCAGTCCCAGCATTGGAACCAACAAAGCATAATTCCATTTGCTTCCATGATCTTCATTATTTCTTGCATTAGGCTGAATGTTCCAGTTAGGAGGAGGGTTATTTAAATTATTCATAGGCAAACCTTAAAATCAGAGAAAGCAATTCTTGAGATACTTATTACCTAACTTTATGCTCAGCTATTTAAAATCATATACCTCTGCTAAAATTCCCTGAAAAATTATTTATATCTATGACAAAAAATGTAGGGAAAAATATACTGCTGCCAAATCTGATCAGTCATATCTTTGATTATGCTTCCCCAAACAATAAAGACTTAGCCAGATCATTAGCTAGTTCCTTTAGCACTTTGGGATACAATATGACCTTAGATTTAAAATCATTCATAAGAAATATGTGTTTGCTGACCATGTTTCTGTTGGTCTCAATCTTTAGTTCTGCCATTTTATCTATTCTTCATACTTTCTGGAGGAACCAGGGCTGATTCAGTGCTAAAAATCAAGTATGCCAGATTAGAGGCACCAAATTTTAGGGGTGACCATTCTTATAATCTATTCAGGGAAGAAGGAAGTACACAAACTGATATTGATATTCAAGCTCTGATAGGAACAGTTTTAAGAGCAAAATACATTTAGCTGAAGGAGAAAAAAAGGGGGGAGAGAATTATAGCAATCGTCAAATATCAAAAGTGCTATTATTAAGAAAATGGAGCAGAATTTTTCTGCTGCTATGGAGATCAGAACTATGTCCAATGGATGGATGGGAAATAAATTTTAGTCAAATATTAGACAATATTCAGGTAAGGCCTATTTGGTGATATATTAGACTATCTCTGGAAGGATAATCTAGTTTCTTCTCTGAATGTATTTTAGTAGAAGTTGAATAATCTTCTTTCAAAGACTATATTATACCCTGTGTTAAATAGGAAGTTGGATTAGATTATCCCCAAGGGTTCTGTTATATACAGTAATTTTATATACAACAGAATTCCCTAATTCTGATATAGGTATATTTATTTATTTCCTATGAAAATTACAATAATAGGCATGGTTAAAGAAAGAAAACTGATTTACTTTTGGGAGGTTACTAGAATTCATAGGAAATGCATTCATAAATAAAACCTCTCAATTTCTTATTTATAATTTACAAACAACCTTATGTGTTTTCTCTAGTCATTGGAGGAATTGTAGCCATATGGCCACGTCAGGGCTGAAGAACGCATTCCGTTTGTTGAGCCGATTTTTCCCCATCTAAAGTCCCATCTAAAGTCCACCATTTAACTGACTATTTTTTAATAAAAAGTTTTGTGGAGAGAAATCTATAGGAAAAACTCTTCCTCTAAGAGAGAGATGATGAAATGTTCCTTCAGATTTTTTGTGTGTGTATATAAAAACATACAAAGATGCGCGCGCGCACACAAATCTGTATAAAGGATCATTTCAGCATCTGCAAATTTACCAAAACATAAAACAGTTATTGTACAGTTTTACCATCTTCACTAAAAACAGGATTAATATGGACTGCTGGACTACAGTACTGTTGACTGCGGTACTCACAACCCTCCTCTCTTTCATTAAATTAACACTTTAAATATAAAAACATGCAAACCCATACCAAAAAATCTTCACGGACATTAAACAAAGGTAAAAAGAAAACCCACGACCAGAAGGTCTGGCAAAAGAATATTCCAAAACCTCGGTAACAGCTACTACGCCCTTAGCTATCATTGCGCATACGCAAAATGCGCACCATGTTCGTTTAGCTTCTTTTTTTTCCGGAATAAAGCCACCTCATCGTAAGGATTTAAAACCATAAAAGACACCAATTATAGTAGTTTTTCTTTTTCAAAAATTCCTTGCAAACGGATTGTCCTGGTAGCGTAGTAGCATATTTAAAGCTTCGGAGCTTTCATAACCTTTGATATTCATAATTTTTTTATAGAAACAACTAAGGCCTGAAATGGTAAAACCTACCCGAACAGATTATTTTGGCTTTTTTCTCGCACTGGTGGTAGCCAACCAGCACTCTCCGTGGGACGCTTGCTCAGTTAGGTCCCATTTTCCACACACGCGCAGTAGCGTAATATCCTACCGGGTAGAAATGGCGCTGACTTTGGGAAGGCTAAGATATTTGCAGCTGTTCTACAAGGTACGTCCTTGATACGGGCCGGGTCAACTATAATAAATTAATATTTACCATGCGTTTGAGAGTAGGTTTTTCAGCTTCAGTTGAAGAATAGTGGTTTAGGCTGGCGGGATGTGCGATTTTATTGGCTTCGTATATTCAGCCCAGGTTATGATAAGATACTGGAAGTTTTGGGTTTTTTTTTTTTCTGGTGTGGTATTCCGTTCTTCAGACGGGAATCGTGTTTCGAACAGTCCTATATTTCTATGTCTTAAAAAACAGATAGTTATTTTTTCGTCCGTTTATTTTCTTGTTGAGAGCCCTGCGTTGAACTTTGTTCTTAAAAATAAACGTATTTTGGTCTTGAGATTAAAATGTAATTTTAATTAAATTAAAAATTTAATTTTAATTAAAACAAAAAAATAGACCCAGGAAATTACAGACCTGTCAGCCTGACCTCATTATCTGGGAAGATTCTGGAAAAGATAATCAAACAACGAATCAGCGAACACCTAGAGGCAAACAAAGTCATTACTAAAAGCCAACATGGGTTTGTCAAAAACAGATCATGCCAGACAAATCTTACTGCATTCTTTGACCAAGTGACAAAATTAGTGGATCAGCGGAATGCTGTGGATATACTTTACTTGGACTTCAGTAAGGCATTTGATAAAGTAGATCACAACCTACTACTTGATAAGATAGAAAAATGTGGGTTAGACAGCATCACCATCAGATGGATTCGTAGCTGGCTGGTACTGGCCATATTCAGCATGTGGTTCTCAGTGGAACCGCATCTACATGGAGGGAAATGTGTACTGGGGTGCCCCAGGGCTCTGTTCTGGGCCCAGTGCTCTTCAACATCTTCATCAACGATTTGGACGGGGGGATAGATGGGGAACTCATCAAATCTGCAGACAACACCAAGCTGGCAGGAATAGCCAACACTCCAGAAGACAGGCTTAGGATACAGGAGGATCTGGACAGACTTGAACACTGGGCGCTATCTAACAAAATGATATTCAATGATGAAAAAAGTAAGGTTCTATATTTAGGCAAGAAAACCAAATGTTCAGATATAGTATAAGGGGTACCTTGCTCAATAGTAGTAACTGTGAGAGGGACCTTGGAACCTAGTAGACAATCACTTAAATATGAGCCAGCAGTGTGCTGCAGCTGCCAAAAAGGCCAACACAGTGCTGGGCTGCATTAACAGAGGGATAGAATCAAGATCACGTGAAGTATTAATACCATTTTACAATGCCTTGGTAAGGCCACACTTGGAATACTGCATTTTGGTCACCACGATGTAAAAAAGATGCTGAGACTGTAGAAGAAGTGCAGAGAAGAGCAACAAAGATGATTAGGGGACTAGAGGCTAAAGCATGTAAGGAAAGGCTGCTGGAATTGGGTATGTCTAGTTTAATGAAGAGAAAGGTGAGGGGGGACATGATAGCAGTGTTCCAATATCTCAGGGACTGCCACAAAGAAGAGGGAGTCAAGCTATTTTCCAAGGTGCCTGAAGGCAGGACAAGAAGCAATGGATGGAAACTAATCAAGGAGAGAAGCAACCTAGAACTAAGGAGAAACTTCTTGAGAGTTAGAACAATTAAGCAGTGGAACAACCTGCCTCCAGAAACGGTGAATACTCCAGCACTGGAAGTTTTTAAGAAGAGACTGGACGGCCATTTGTCTGAAATGGTATAGGGCTTCCTGCCTGAGCAAGGGGTTGGACTAGATGACCTCCAAGGTCCCTTCCAACATCATCATCATCATTATTATTATTATGGATCATCACAAAGTCAGCCAGATGTTCAGACTGGATTTGGCATTTTCTCTACCTATCGAATCCTTACCCAGGACGTGGGATAGGCAGATGTGAATGTTTGATGGATATCGTCGCAAGATGGAAGCAGTTCCTAGTAAGGCCGCCTTTTGCAATTGACTAATGGCAAATTTGTCAATGGCAATGGTGTTCAAGTGGTGTGCCAGTTGTTTTGGATTGCATCCAAGGAGCCTATCACTATTATTATTATTATTATTATTATTATTATTATTATTATTATTATTATTAACTTGCTAATATGGAAATGAGATATCAATAGCCCTGATAAGTGACTTGTCTCTAAAATCCCAAAACCGGGTGAATAGAGATTTGAGGTGATGCAATATATTTGGATAAGGAAAAGATCTTTTGGAGTAAAATACTGTATAAATGCAAGAGATAGGGAAAGGAACAAAAACTGTCACATAAAATGGCAGAACCGACTCCTGCAAACTTAAAAGCATACATGACTACCTTGGTAACATAGCATTACCGCATGGGAATATTTTAATGTCATGCCTATACTTGTGAGTAAAATAGGCAAACATGCAAAATGCAAATAGTTTGGCTAAAAAACATAAGACCTAGTTTTCATTTAGGAAAGTTATGAAATCATATGTTATATGTTCATTCCTAAGGAATATTTGATAAAATCAGATAATAAAATTAGATATAGCAAGAATATTTTGGCTAGAACAACATGTTAGCAGAGGGGAAACTCCATTTAGCAATCATACTTGCATAATATTAAAATGTTTTAGAGACAAGTGGGATTTATTCAAGAAATCTATATTTGTTCATGCTTTAAAGAAAATCGCACCTGTGAGCTGATACAGCTCTCATTAAATACTTGGATTCAGATATAATCTTTTTTAACAGTCGTAAGTACTTCTAGTGCTATAGAAACCATGTTTCATTTCTTTGGAGAAATTCAATATTGGGAAATAATTTGAAAACTGAGGAAGTAGGCAAGCTTATTTTTCTGTTCTAGATTCTGAATGAAGAGGAAGATGGGTGACTCTTTAATATTGGCAACTAGTATTTAGAATTTATTTTGTTTTGGCTGGTTTGCTTTGTCATTTATTATTTATTTAGCATATGGCATGGATTAGCAATATAAATTAACATTTCAGCTCAATAAAATATAAATGTCAAAAAGATCTGTGCTCAAATATCAATTTCTAGGCCATCTAACCATTGAAGTGTAGCATTATTTATATTTTAAAAAATCAGATACTGAACTGTTATATGCCATCAGCTTTTAGCTGGTCATGATGTGATCTACAGTTTGATGTGGGACCTCACAGTCTCATTGAGGGAAGGAATATGCTCCACTCATACAGAAAGTTCCGGCAGATACCATGTGAGGTGCAAATCCTAGTCAGGATTGTCCATTGCTAACATGGTAGTTCAAAGCCTGGCACCTTTTTGTGGAGTCATAGGTCTAGATAGATAGATAGATAGATAGATAGATAGATAGATAGATAGATAGATAAGACAGACAGATAAGATAGATATTGTTCAGCGCCCATTTGGCTTTCCATTGGGAATTGATATTAAAAGTGGTTGGGCAGATGTGCAGGTGACTGGGAGTTTCCTGGATTTGAGTCTTCGGGCTGATAAATGAGGAAGGTTGGCATGCACTGGTGGAGTGAGTTCATAATTTTTCTGTATTTTTTCACTAGTCCATCTTGCTTTTGTAAAGCTGGTGGTGCTAGATGGCTCAGAACAGGAAGCCAGTAAGTCAGAGTGGTTTTAAGACATCTGCTTATAATCCTCAAGGTGTTGTTGACTCTTGTGTCTTAACTTATTAGTATGGCAGCTATTAAACCATACAAGGACATAGTATTCTGGTGCGGAGTTGACAGCTGATGATCTGAGAATAGCAGCTGAAATTCTCTAGGTGCTTCTTGCAGGAGAGACTTGGTCCAATGTTACTGTAAGGTACTTTGTTTAAGTAGACTTTCAGGGCTTCATATCCTAGTTATTGAGATGGAAGCACTGTTTTGCTGCTGCTGGGAGTGAGCCTTAAGTCAGTGAAGAATTTTCCCAAGATTTTTGAATAGGAACATGTCAGCCACCTCCATGTGTTTTTCTTTTACTGCCATTTTAATTGTTCTTTTTATTAATGAAAATTAAAAGCATATTTTTTTGATTTCATGTTTTTGTAAACTATTTTACCTACTTGCTGAAGAAAAATTGAACACATATCTTTAGTTTGCCACCTTGAGTTATTTATAAAAAGAATGAAGGCAGGATATAAATAAAAATTAGTCCAACGTCAAAATTCTAATGACAAAAGTATCCTGCACACATCCAGAAGAATTAATTGTGCAGTTCCTTACAACTTCAAAAGTGGAAAGAGGGACACATAACTAAGACAGAATATCAGCAAATAGCCCGAGCCTGCAAAGATGAAGTGAGGAAAGCTAAGGCTCAATGAACTAAGGCTTGCGACCAAAGCCAAAAATAACAAAAAAAGCTTCTTTCAACATGTAAAAAACAAGAAAAAAGTGAAGGAAATGATTGGTCCATTAGTAGGTAAAAGTGGCAAGAAGATGAAAAGCAAAACCAAAATACTTGTGAAGAATATGATTAGATCACAGAAAAACGAACTAGCTGATAAATTAGGTATTCAGATCACAAAGAAAATAAGATACTTAGGGATACATCTAACAGCTAGGAGTGTAACAATTAAAAGAGACAATTATGATAAATTAATGGATCAGATTAAAACAGACTTGGACACCTGGACAAATCTCCAGCTTTCTTTCATGGGTAGAATTGCCGTAATTAAAATGAACATATTACCTAAAATATTTCTATTTCAGTGTATACCAATTAGATTAGAAAAATAATTCTTTAGAAATTTCAACCAAACCATACTTAAATTCATTTGGCAAGGGAAAAAAACAAGGATTAAATTAAAATTATTACAGGATGTTAAGGAACGGGGGGGTCTCGGCCTCCCCGATCTGGAAAAATACTATTAATCTACAATTCTATTGTG